CGGGAGGTGGCGTATGGGGCGGCACGGCAGCCCCCCCCACACACACACACACGGGGGGAAACGGGCTTTGCAGGGCGCGGGCTGCCCTCACCACCCCGGTGGCATCAAAGCAGAGTCACCACCCAACGATTTGGAAACCCGTTTAAACGCTTAAAACAGGCACTAACAGCCTCACGGTCATTTAAGGCTCACGAAATTGCCACGGAGAGGGTCGCGCCCCACACCTCCGCAGGGCACGGGGGCGGCAGGGATGGGCAGGGTTGGCACCACGCAAGCAGGATGCGCTTCTTCCTCGTGGTCGCAAAATTACAAGCTGCTATATACAGGCTCGGGCTCGTCTGGGCTTTGGAATAACTGTAAGAGGCAAGAAAAATGGATTTAAAATCCCTGCAATGTTTTGAACTAATTAGCAAGAGCAATTTGGAGAACGCATCTGAAAAGCAGTCCATATTACTAGAAAGAGTCCATCCTTTGTAAAATAGGCGAGCATCTAGTACCAGGCTGCTACCTTGCAGCAGTCTGGACTTCCTCCCATTTATTTGTTCTCCAGAAAAATAAGACTCCTTTGGAAGAAAAAAAAAAAAAAAAACCCTAAAAAACAACCAACACCAAACCCCTTATTGCCAGGCAATTCACACAGTTTATCATGCGATTATCAAGACCTATGTCTGCTCCAAGCAGAGAGGCACAATCAGTTCCTGCCAGGGAGCGCAGGGTAGGCAGCAAGCAGGTCAGCACAGCCCTGGGGTTGAAAACTAGCTGGGTGGTGTCAGCTCTGCAAAGCACCACCAACCACATTCACACAAGGACTCAAAAAAGTCCCCACGAGTAGCCACCCCTGCTAGCTTAGGAAGGAGGAGCTGCTGGATCAACTGGAACACACTGGAAGAAATCCCTCCCGCTTAAAGAAGTGCTGAGGGGTAGGAGCAATTGGTGCGCCCAGCGAGCGCAGGAAGGAAGTGGTGAACGGCGCTACTGGTACAAGCCCTTTGGGGGCAAAGAATTTAATCCTGAAGTGGTTTAGGGTGTCTGACTATGCCCTGGGAGAGGTCCAGCCAGATCAAAGAAACAACTGCCCTCTCATTTTTCATCCGTGCCTCCTCTGAAAGCTGAACACAGATCACTTGTGCCATGCTGACCTCTCGGGTTTTGTCCAGCCCCGCTAACTGCAGCGCAATGGACCGGATTTTCATTATTTGTCCATCCTTGCTGCCACAGGCCCTTTCCACATCTATCTGCCAACACTTTTTGCTGTCATCTCAAGTGTGCTTAACTATGAACGTCAGGACTGCCAGACAGGTCCATCTCTCCTGGGGCCAAATGTAGGTACCGAAGGAGGAGTGCCAGAACAGAGCAAATGTATCAGCCCAGCAATTTACATCTCAGGGAATTCCTGAGCTAGAAGAGATGTCTTTAACAGCCCTCAGCAGATTTTTCTTCCATTATTTGTTTAGTCACATTTTAAGCCTAAAGCCTGTTAGCATCAGTGAAAAGAAAAAATGAATGCTTTTATAAGGACAAACATCTACAATGCATTTTATCAAAGCTATTAGTTGCATTTGTATCAAATCAAATCTAATCTGATTTTATTCTTGTACGTTTCCTTGAGGGCAGCTATGAAGCTCTTAGCGTTTTCAATTTATCAGGCGTGAGGAACTCCGTTTTTTTCTCTCCTTTGAAGCACGGGAATTGTAGTCTTTGTGCTTCGGGCTTAATCTCTTTGTGAACTACATTTCCCAGAAAACCCCTCCTCCGGCAGGCCAGCCCTTTCCTTCCGCAGTCGGGCACGGCAGCATTATGAAAGGTAAGTTTTCAGGCATTATTCACCATATCACTCTTATTTCGTTAGATGCGTTCGGTTCGGCTGTTACCCCCCACTCCCCACGTAATTATTACAGCAAAAGAGACTCGGGTGACGTGGCTGTCCCTCGGAATTTCTGGCGGCCTGTAACCATTTGTAGAACCCTGTTTATATTCCACCTTGAACTTGTCCGGTCTCTTTCTGTGGAGCATCTTGGATGCGTGTTAAAAACAAACTTTAGCCTCGGATCTTGGTAGGTACATTCAAAGAGTTTCCCCTACTATATATCGTAGTTATTTTTTAATCTGAGCACTTTCATTTTAAAAGCAGCTTTGCATTTCACAGGAAATAGTCTGTCCTTTGTAAGCTTTTCCTATTTCTACACTTCACAGCAGCTCTCAAATGTATTTGTTATTTTTGCTGCTGGGCCTACCATTGCCTTCTCTCTCTTGTGGGCCAACCCATATTATATCTCCATTTCATTCTCCCTCAGAATGTTTCCTTCTGAGAGATCTTTTGATGATAAGGGACAAGAATGGAGAGTTTTCATCAGTTAAAGCAATTTAAATACTGTCAAACTGGCTTAACAGCCTTTGGGGAGCATCATGACAGAAGTTATCATCAAAGCAAATTACAGTTTATTGGGAGACTTTGTCCCTTCTAATTAATTCACATAGAAAATTAAATCTCTTCAGTGGGAATGCCCAACACAACTCCTGCTGAACAACAAGACAAAAATCATTGCAAACAGAATCTACTGCTTAGATTTAAAAAGTAATTCAGACTATGGAGGAAGTCCAGTCTTCCCTGTAATTCAACTGATGATGATGCAAAGCCTTGAGAACTGGAGATTAACTGAAACAAATCTACTCTTTGCCAGCTAGCATCAGTTTAGTATCATCGTACTTACAGCCGAACACTGAAACTTTAAATGTATTCAAATATTGTGCTATTTACTGTAAGAACTGGTGCTGGAGGGTGACTGAGGACTTGAGGCAAAGCAATTTAAATGCAGCAGGAGCCTAAAAACCACTGAAGCACAGGTTGTCAAAAGTACTTAGATGCCAGCCTTTCAGATAAGTAAGCTCACCACTTGAATACCTCTGACTTTCTCAGAGCTGCCACAGATCTCAAGCACCGCAAGTTTTCTATAGGCAGCATTTGTGAAACTGCCTACATGCTTTAACCATTTGACAGCTAACAAGCTGCACAGACCCCACCTTCAAACCACTGCCAGTAACACCTGAAAGGGATCTGCTCCAGCTGGCTGAGGACTCCCAGTGAGACCCAGTCCCTTAGCTGTCCTCCCAGTAATTTGTCATGGTGAAGGCAGAAGTATGAGTGAGCATGAATCTGCATCCAGGTGTCCCACATTACCAAGCAAGCTTTAAGCACTAAACTATCTGGGGCCTGTTGCCATGACTCTTTAGAGATCATCCCTTTTTATCAGTAAATAAAGTCCTTCCTCCATCTTCCAGATCTCACACAAGGCTCCTTGCTAAGGGATATGGTGGGAGGGAGAAATACTGGTCAATTCTCAGTACTGTTTCTTTCAAAACTTTTTGTACTTTGTATGCAAAACCATAGAGAGGCCCAGAAAAAAATAGTTTTAAAATAGCAAAATGGAGAAAGGAGAACTGCAGACTGCTAGAAAGACCAAACAAAATCAAGGTCCAAACCAATCCACTCCCATCACAACAGGTCCTCCACACAATTCCAGGCTACTTGTCAGCAAAGCCATCCTGCCTGTCCCCAACAGGCCATGCTGTTCCTCCCTTAAAGCAGGATATCCCTCCCATTCCTACCTGCCAGGCAGTTGTTTCTGCCCTGCACACATTTGGGTGATCCCTTCTCTCACCCTGTTCCTGTTGGAGAAGCAAAGCAGTACCCCTCCACCTCTCCAGTGACTCTGAGGAGGTGGTACCCACAAAGGAGGAGGTGCCAGAGCATTTAGGCAGTGTCCTAACCATCTTCAGTCTCATTTCAAGGCCTGTTCTGCACCAGGCCTTTATAAAAAAACCAGGAGTAACTCCAGTCAAGGCCTTTGTCCTGAAAAAGCAACATTTCAAGGTTGTTCTTCTCTCCCTTCCCACAACACATGCAAAGGATGGGCTAGATAGAAAGGACTGATTTGGAGAAGGCAGAATGTTAAAGAAAGCAGAGCAAGGGTCTCTTTTGGGGAGGAACCAGACAGACAGTGCCTCTGGAGTGGGGTGCTTGGCCTTCTTGCCATTTCTTCTCTGCCCTGTTGCACATACCTAGGAAAGATTCTGCATGCTCAGGTCTTTCTGGGCTCTTTACAAGTCCTCTTAGGCAGCCATCCTTCACACCAAGATAGAAGAGCAGGAATCCTGCAAGTCAAGGGTGCTAATTTTGTCCACGTGCCTTGAGCAGTCCTCAGTGTTGTCCTCTGTCAAAGCAACATACGAACACTGTCCTTGGACGGTGGGCTTTAGTTAACATTTCCAAAATAACTTGTGTTTCTTTACTAAAAAGAAAAAAGAACAAAGCATACTTATCAGCATCATTTTCCAGGGAATCCCAAGAAAATGGAATTACAGAGGTGCTCTTTGCTTTCTTTTACCTGCCATGTGTTCTGTTCTTGGCTTTTAGCTGAACATGTTCTCTGCCAGGAAGTTGTCTGGAGTTTGCAGAGCCGTCAGATTCCATCATTTCAGATCCCATTCTGTATCGAGAATCTCTCCAAACTTGGCTTTCGTGCCAGCCTGTCTTCCCCCAGATCCCGTGGAAGTAGAGGAGCTGCAGCACTTTGTTTCTAACTCCAAGAGGCTGTTTGTAATGACTGGAGCTGGAATCTCAACTGAATCGGGGATCCCAGATTACCGCTCTGAAGGTGTTGGGCTCTACGCCAGGACAGACAGACGGCCCATCCAGCATGCTGAGTTCGTTCGTAGTGCCAGTGCCCGGCAGCGGTACTGGGCAAGGAACTTTGTCGGGTGGCCCCAGTTCTCCTCCCACCAGCCAAACACAGCACACCTGGTACTAAGAGACTGGGAGAAGCTGGGGAAGCTGCACTGGCTGGTGACCCAGAATGTGGATGCCCTTCACACCAAAGCTGGGAGCCAGCGCATGACAGAATTGCACGGCTGCACGCACAGGTACTCTCTGTTGGTAAAGGGAGGATAGTTAATCCTCCGGTCTCTCATTCAGGGTGACTGACAAGCAGGTCCAGTGTTAGCTGCTGAGAAAGGAGGCAAAATGTCAATGCTATGTTCCTGGAGATGACATGTTCAAAGGTGGTGTTGGGCTGGTGTGGAAAAAAAGATCACAAAGCAGTGCTGTTCACAGCACTGCATTTAAGAAACGTGAACACCACTCCGGTTTTTTGAGCATTATTTGGATAATTTCCCTTGGAGCCTGCATCAGTCAGAATTTCCCCTTTCCTTGCTACAGCAAATATCCTCTTAGTGAAGAGGACAAGGGGATCCTGAGGATGCAAGGATTATCCAGGGCTAAGCAGAGTGTATAGTGCCAGAAGGGCCACCACAGCCTGGCTGTGATCACCCAAAGTTTCTAGATGAAAAAGCACAGCCTGAACTGGGAGAGAGGGTTCAAAGCGCTTCCTGCGGAGCATTCCTACAAAACAACAATCGGAGGTAGAAAGACAGCTCCTTGACCTGTACTATTTGGTGAATAAACATGGATAATGACGACAGACCTTCCGGGCCTTCTAAGGAAAAAGTTACAGACTCCAGATCTTCAGCTGACATGAAACTCTGCATTAAGATTTTGCTCTGAATTTCAGGGTTTTCTGCCTGGCCTGTGGAGACCAAATCTTGCGCTCTGAGCTTCAGGAGCGCTTTGAAGCTCTGAATCCTACCTGGAAAGCTGAAGCGTTTGGTGTGGCTCCAGATGGGGATGTCTTCCTGACAGATGAGCAGGTGCGTAATTTCCAAGTCCCAGCCTGCAGTAAATGTGGCGGAATCCTGAAGCCCGACGTGACATTCTTTGGAGACACGGTGAGCCGGGAAAAAGTGAATTTTGTGCACCAACGCCTGGCAGAATCAGACTCCATGCTGGTGGCAGGATCCTCTATGCAGGTAAGCAGGTCTTCCTCCCACACTGCATTCCTATTTCTGTGCTACTCTGCCTGCAACAATCCTTGGTCCCACAATTTAGGACTGCTATTTGCTTGTGGATCAAAACAGCCTCTTCAGAGCTTCTTTGTATTTTATTTTTACTGTGGTTGGAATCTGGCTTCACAGTTGGCCTGGTTGGCTTCCCTGGCACTCTATTGCCAGTCTACTTCATGCCGCTATAAATAACTCCATTCAGACCCCTCTGTGCTACCTCCTCCATCAGAATATAGTAAATTCACAATTGCCCATAAAGCCAAGATACCTGATACAATTCAGTCCTGAAGAGATCACCACCCCACATTTTTTTGCTTGAATTTTTGAGCCTTTGGCAGCTTTCTAGGCCTCACGGCACACTGTGTGAAACACCAGATTTTAGGACCTCTAATTCCTAATTAAATTCTCAATAAGAGAGCAGAAATATCTCTGCTTGCTGCTTAGGATTGTCCTTTGTATCACAATGTGTTTTCTCCATTAGCCTCTTACCTGTAAGGTAAGGTAGTGTAGAAACCCCTGTTGTTTAACCCATAGAAGCTTTTGGACTAGAGTTTGTATAAGAGAAATTTTTCCAGGAACAAGTTCTATTACATTAAAAAAAACTCCACTCTAACGCCTCCCAGAACAAGATAAAACCAAGGCTGCCTGATTGTGATTCTCTTGGCTTCAGGATATTGGAGACAAATTCCTTGAGCTTGCACTTCTTAAGCTTATAATCCTTTGTACAGGAATGATTGAAATGCCTTAGGTTCATTCTTGTACCTAAGCTGGGCCATGTGAGAATCATCAAAGTAGAAGCATTTAAGTACCTATGATAACTAATAAAAACTGCTGCAGAGATTTACTAAAAGACAAGGACATTTCCCTTCAATGTACTATGAAGTTTTGGTTTCTATGAAACTGCAAATCCTTCACTGACAGAGGTTAAAAGCTGTTCTTTTCTGTGCACTCCTGAAAGAAGAAATTTCCTACCTGAATTCAGTGCAGTTGCCCAACACAGCATGTACATACAGCCCCGTTTCCCACTGCTAACAGCAACTATTTTACTTCCTTACTCCTTTCTGTAGCTCTTCTTTTGCCTAAGCTGCCAGTAATTTTGTCTTCTGGTATTCCTGCAGGTATACTCTGGTTACAGGTTTGCTCTTGCTGCCTGGGAGAAGCAGCTACCAATTGCGATCCTTAACATTGGGCCTACAAGGTTAGATCACTTTGCATCCTTAAAACTGAATTCCCGCTGTGGAGAGCTGCTGCCTTTGATTGTTGTACATGACCCAACAAGATGAGCTTCAGTAGCTATCAGGAGTAAACTTATTTCTACAAGGTGAGTACCTTCCCTGGTCAGTTACCTTACAGGGTAAGAAGATGGGTTCCCATCAAATGCTGGGACTGAGATGTGCTGACTGAAAATAAGTTCCCACAGTGTGCACCAAAACATGGCTGTAAATTTTCACCTGTAACTGGTGTGCTCTGATGGGCCATGATACTGTTTCCCATGATCATAAACAAAGAGCATACTAAGTGTTAATGCTCCCAGAAAACTGGGCAAGCCAGGAGACTCAGCAGTGTGGAGTTCCAATCCATTTCTCACAATCAGAAAACTACAGGGATTCATCTGCAGATTCAGAGAACCTGATCAACACTGCTGCCTTTGCAACTGACAATTCAAAACCTGTGCCTGGCTGAATTGATCCAGCTAATCGTAATCAAAACACTGCTGTTTAAAATAATCAATTCCACCTATAAAGCAGCTTCTTCCCTCCACTCCTGCAGGACTCGTCATCTCAAAAGGGGAAAACCTCAATCTAAGAGGCAGCTGTGAGATCCAATGCATGGCCCCTGATGACACCAGGAGAGGGCAGCAAGCCTCACACATGTCGACCTGACCAGTTCTCTCCATTGAAACCATCTCCACTTACCAGGAAACAGGGTGATGATGAAAAAAGTACTTTTCTGCCTTACCTTGCCATTGTAAACAGTCCCTTTTCTTTTCTGGGACAGGATAATCAGACTACCATATCTGAGAACAAAATACCTTTCTTAAAATTGTCCCCAGAGAAGAATGAGGGACAGGGATTTTAACCAAGTAACTTAAGGCTATAGCACAGGAGGGCAATGTGGAAAACCACGGTAACTGCTGGAAGATCCAATACCACTAGCAGGCAACTGTGCAGTGTGCAAAGAGGAAAAGGAGGCAAGAGGAACTGCTGTCGTCATTTAAAAAAAAAAAGGGGGGGGGGGGCAAAATAGAAGCTGAACAAGAGCACTGCTCTTTTAGGAGATTATTTGAAAGCACAGACTATAAGGCTGATGTCTTCCAGCAAGGAGATAAAGTCAGCATTTCTCTCAACTGTCAGCTGACAAGCTAAACTGCTTACTATCTGAACCCTTTAAAAATTATATATTGTTGAGATGCCAGAGGAGTTACTTTAAGCTAATCTGAACAGCACTGCTTTCAGTGTGGCTGTTACATTTTCCAGAATGTGTTTTTTGAAGATGTTATTTAATTAATGAATAGCTAAGAAGTGAATTAAAATTGTTTACAAGATTTATACTATTTGCATTGTAATTTCCTCTCCCTCCTATGATTTATATAAGTACAGTCTCAATAGCCAGTTTAGATTCATTTTTTCCATTCCAAAAATGCAGGATGTAATTACTAACAGCTGATGAATTAAGAGAGAAATACAGTTTAATCTGTACAACAGGTCTCCCTCAGGAGGTAATCTCAAGCTATTAATAGATGTAATTTTCCACACTCCAAACAGGAGATCCATCACTACTGGGTGTAACCATTTATTTGTTGATCCTTAGGGTGGTAACGTAAGCCATATTAAACCATTTCTGGAGTAAAAGACAGAATCTTGTCCAGACTAGAACACTAAATTTTTGACCCAACCATCTGCATGAATCTACTGCTCTCCTTCTGGCTATGAGGGAGATTAATTGTTGTGGTCTTTCAAATGCCTCAGTCCTACTCTTCACATAACATGTCCTGTATTAATATTTTGACAAGAACTGTAACAAGCAGTTGGAAGCAAGGATGCCAGAGTCATCTGCTAAAAGGTCAAGCAGCAAAGCAAGGACAACTGACCACATGACGCAAAGTTCTTTTCCACTTTGTTGTTGATTCAAATCCATGTCAGGCAGGAGCAAGTAAAGCACAGAACCTAAGGGATACTTAGGCACCCAATTTCTGCAGAAGGTAGGGGGAATTAAGATACTTAACGCATTTCAAGATTTGGCTATTATGGATCAGAGGAGAGATGGCTTCACTTAGAAGCCAAGCGAGATAAATTCAGGACCCCTACCTGCATTCTGCTCTCATTTGATGGACATCCCACTTTCCCGCGAGTTAGGTATCTGGTGTTTGGTAGTGAAGAAAGCTCACAGATGTCTCTCCATCTTTAGCATAGTACAGCTGTCCTGCTAACCAAAGCTTTTGCAGAAACCATTGCTAAGGCATAGCAGACTCTCCACACACAGCCAGGGAGCTTGCACAGTGTTTATTCACATAGGTTCTTCCATGGAAGACGACATTTATGCCTCCTTAGCAGAGGAACTGGGGCTGGCTTTCTCAGTATCGGTGTCATCTTCTGCACCAACTTGGAACTTGTATGACATAGGTGTGTTAAAAACAGAGGCTGCAGGTTTAGTGCCAGTAGAGCCAGCATTTTGAGAAGTTGTGGGAGCATTGCCAAGAAGCCTAAAACAAGAAAACATTTCCAGTGAGAACTTGGCATTAGCAATGTGACTAAACCTCCCACATCTATCCCTGTCTCTTCTCCAGTTCAGCAGCTGAGCCTGTGGGAGAGGAGTCAGGGTGTCTCTTCAGTATCACTAATAAATGAGTCATGTTACCCTGACCCTCCACTGATTACACTATATACTTCTAAGACACTAAGACAATGACTTACAGTAAATGAACATTACAGTAAATTTCCTGTGTGTGGTTTATTACTATATGTTAATGAGTACATATACAACAAGTATATGAGGCTGAGACAGGAGTTCCCTTTTTTTTTTCTGCTAAGCTAATCCAGCACTACTAAAATTGACTTCTTTTAGAGCAGGATCAGAGCACTTCACCTCTTAGCATGTTCCCCAGGACACCACTGAGAAGTAAGTTCACTCAACTGAGAAATGCCAGAGAAAGCCTAAAGTTCCTACACCAAAAGCCAGATCTGCATCACTCTAATGCTGATTGACACCTTCCCCTTTCACTCCTGGGGGACTGTTTTTGTGGGAAGATGCAATGCAGAGAGATAACAGCTATCAGAAGGTAATGATGTCATTGCAGGTAGCTAGCAAAGACCTACCCTGAGATGTTCGTGTTTGTCAGCTTACTGATGTAGTTACCAGCCTGGAGGGAGTTACAAAAACCTCCAGGGTTGAGCACTATAGGATGTTAATTAGCCATGCTGTGGGAAAACAACAAACTCAGTAAAAGAACTGACCTAGTGTTCAGCTTTATTCTCTCAGCCTATGCAGAATTTGCAAGGGAGGAGGATTTTAAAAAGGGGAGAAATATTGTTCCTAAAAGACTAAACAAAAGGACGGTAATCTTTGTGTTACTGGCTGAAACTAACAGGAAAAGAGTGTTACAGAGCCTGAGCAGTGTTCTCTTCCCCCGTCACCAGGAAGGAAACACAGATCCTTTCTATCTATCTACCTTGTCTGCTTTAAGCCAGCCTTATCCTCCACATGATTCAATCCTCTCCTACCTTTTCTGGCTCACTGTTGTTAGACCAGTCCACCAGTATTTTACATCAGGCCTTGAAGTTGTAGCTCTGTCCACCTATGCATGGCAAAAGTACACATCAGACAACAGCACAAGGACGGGTTTTTTTACCATGAAATCAGCTGAATCAACAGCTTATGCTCTTCCCTTTTTCTTACAGCTGTTCCTACTGGGACAAGCTCTTGAGGTCTGGATATTGAGAGTGTCTTACAATAGATTCTTCTGCCACTCCTCTAAAAGTGGGGTCGGAGTTACCCAAAGCAAACAAAAACTACTTCCTATGTGGCAAGTCTTGCCTTTATTTCTGGGCAAATTCTCAGAGCAAACTTTGTAATTGAGTCCTGCAGCCTGGGAAAGATATTTCATATACTGTGTTCCAGTGAGGGCAGCACAGACTGCAGATGGCCCGGAGGACTTGTGCCTGGTGGGTATGGTGTTAAGTGCAGCCTCCCATATCTTACAGTCAGATTGCTCCTACTGACAAACATGCTTACTCACGACTTCTGGAAAAGGACCAAAGACCCTGGGCATGGTGAACTTGGGAGATTCAGGAACCTTGGAGTGAAGGCAACTAAATCCACCTTCTAGAGTGTGCTTCTTCCCCCATGGCTGCCTTGGATGTTGCCCTTTCCCAGTCTTTGCAGCTGTGAGGAGGAAAAAAAAAAAAAAAAAAAATATTTCAAACCAGTGCCACCTTACTGGTTTCCTCAGTCTATTCATTCAAAACCTGGGGCTTGGGCAGGACAGATGGAGTCTTCCTCTAACATAACCTGTCCTCGGGCAGCCCCAGGTAAACAGCAACTGAAAGCTACAGTTCTAGGAGGCTGTCTAGAGTTAATGGGAAAGGAATGAGGAGGGTGTCAGCCGAATGCCTGAAGTCAGAGTTTATCACTACTCCCAGCCATTCTCTGTGGTGTCTCAGTGCAGGGGTTTTGAGATCTGAATTAACTTGGCCTTAGCAATTGTGGTTTTAGACTACAGAAAAGATAATAGTGGTGAGAGAGTACATTTACGATAGAGGACTTTGCCTCTCCAGTCCTACTGGTCTGGCCATTTTCATCACCAACAGATACTGTGAAAATACCTTTCAGATGCCACATTCCTCCTGGCTGATGCTTTCTTTCTGTAGGGACAGGAAATTCTGGTACATGGGCTGTTAAACAGCTTTGATTTGTTTGGTTGGAGCCTTAAGAAAGAGGTGGATGATGCATTTGGAATAACACCACAAAGGAGGAAAAAGATTAATGGGCTCCTATTGTATTGGTTCTGTGAGCTTTTCTAACTGCAAGGGTGCCCAACAGGGGCTGCACAGCTGAGTGCTCTGTCACCTATGCACCCAGGTCCTGATAGATACAGGAAATCATGCAGGGGACACAGAGGGACAGTAAGAAATTCATACCCACTCACCTCAAAAGAGCAATTGTGCAAGCAGGTAACAATTACTAAGGCTAAAAAAAAAGAGGGGGGGGGGAAAAAAAAAAAAAAAAAGGAAAAAGCATTTTGTGTTAGAGGGCCTCATGATATAGAGCTGTGACTTTTACACACTACAAGCAAGCGGTTTTGAGTGAATGACCTAAGTGCTGCTTGCCCTTGCCAAGACCCAGACAACATATGCAGCTTCAGCATATGCAAATCAGAAATGGTGCCTTTTTGCTAATAAAAGAGGATTTCTGGGACATTCTGCTATTCCTTTATCAGAAGACTCTTGCAAAAAAAAGAAACGTATAGAAAGATTTAGACACATGCTGCACCCAGATTTCCAGTGTGATCCCATATCTTCACATTGGCAAGGGCCAAGGAGAGGAAAATCCAACTGGACCTCTAATTCTAAAGACTGAATATCTGCAACAAGTCAATCTGTGCCCCAGAGTTCACAGTTTGACACAAACTTCTGCTGGTGGGAGGGTGACAGTGCTTGGCTTCTCACTCAGGCAGGTGGCATATGACAAAAATCACATTATACCCTCCCCTATTTAGGACTTGGCATGACAGAACTTAATTGGGTTTAACAGCCAAGTGCTGTGTCTGTGCACAGAACTGGCCATGGCTGCAGCAAGGCTCCTTGTCTCTCTGTGCACCTACTACTTCTACAATAAAGAAGCTGTGCCTGCAGGTAAGAAAAGCTGGAGGATCCTCAGGAAATTGAGGCTATCACACAAGTGGGATTAAGGCTGCCTTCTCACTAAGATGAGTCCCTTTGTTGCTTGGGGAAAACAGCATTGGAGGTGAGACAAGCAGCAAATGCTTTTTGATGCGTTTTCACAGC